TCCTCAGCCTCCGCCAGTCCCGCGGCCTCCATTTTTTGCTTCTCCTTTCGCTCTGTCTTGCTCTTGGCCTGCGGGAGGGAGGACGGAAGGGAGGACGGGAGGGAGGGACGAAAGGGGAAGGGATTTGAGTGGGGCATTGAAGCATCCTTAGCTCCCAAAATTCCTGCGCCCCATATATTATATACGTGCTACTCCTCCCTCCTTCCTTCCCCTCTTCCTTCCCTCGCTCACCTTTGCCCGGCGGGCCTCTGATTGCGCGGCGAGCTGAGTGAGACGAGCCTTCTCCGCCTTCATCTTGTGGATGGCCTCCATGAGCACGCGCTTGTTCTTAAACTGGTTCCCCTTGGCACTAGGGAGGGAGGGAGGGAGGGAGGGAGACAAAGAAGCAGAGAGGGAGGGAGGGGATAGAGGTGAGACGGTGAATGAGCTAGGCGCGGTGTGGAGGGAGGGAGGAAGGGAGGAAGGAAGACGCACCGCTGGTAGAGGTCGTGGTAGAGGTGCTTGTCCACCTTCTTGGCGTCCCGGTACTTGCGGAGGAGTCGGCGAAGGACTCGAGTGCGTCGGAGCCACACGATCTTCATAGGCAGGCGGGCATTGGCCGTACCCTTGCGTTTCCCGTAGCCTAAGGTTGAGGCGTGAGTAGGAGGGCGAGATGAGGGGGGGAGGGGATTTCAAGACCGAGGGGCCAAAAAATCAGGCGGACACCCTGCCTGCCAGACTCGTCGTGCAGAGCATGATCAGGGCCCTACTCCTCACCCCACTCCTGATTTCAACCGCAATCCTAGCCCTCGCTCCAGCCCAGGATAACCAACAGGCATGGTCATGTGGAGACAAGTGATAGTAGAGCGAAGCAGTAGGTGTCTACGACAAAGCTACCGCGCCCTGTGGAGCGTCTCCTGGGGGCTTATTTCGGCAGTATTCACTCCTCCTTCCCTTTCCCCTCTTCCGAGGCTGAGAGAAGGAGGGGGCGGCCTCTCCCCCTCTTGGGCTCCCCCCACCCCAAGGGAAGGAAAAGTCCTGGGAGAGAAGCCCCTCCCACTGCCATGCGTCTGCCAGAACCACAGGCGGTTTATTTCCCCTTTTCTCCTCTTCGCGATCTTTCCCTTCCTTGCTTACCGGTGTGACGGCCCTTGCGCTTGGCCTCCAGGCGGGTCAGGTACCGGGAGCGGGAATGGATTACTTGCGGTTTCTTTAAAACGAAGCCGTCCTTGATCAGCTGTGTATCAAGGACGAGACAACATGGATGAAGGAAGCCGCGTGAGAACCACAAGGTGAATGGCCCTTCACCATCGACACGCAACAGGAAGCGAAGGACACGGCCATGCTCTCTGCCACACCACAATGCTCGATCGAAACCTCGGGAGCTTTTCCGTGCATCATCCTTCCCCTCCCTCACACCATTCCCCGTCCATTCCTTCACGACTGCTCATCGCTTGCTCTGTTTTCCCACGTCGTTCGTGAGCCTTTCTCCCCTCGTCCCTTGCTCACTCCTCCCCCTCCTCACCTTGCGGACGTTCTGTCGGGAATTGGCCATGGAGATCTCCGTCGTTTCGTTGGGGTCAAGCCATACTTTACGTTTGCCTGTCTTCAACACGCTTGCAGCCAAGCGCTTTTGGATGCGGAGGTTCACCATTGTGAAGCCTGTGGGAACACGGGCAAGAAAAAAGACTTAAGGGAGGGGTCCGGGAGTGATGGGAGCCCAGGAGGCTGGAAAAACGAGTGGTCATGACCACCAACCAAGCCACCAAACTAGCAAAATGCGAGCTTCCACAGCACAGATACCAGAAGGCATGCACGCTGGGCGAGGACAGCTTCCATGTCTGTCCCCCGTGATGGAAGTGCTCACTCCTGGGAAAGGAGGGCTTTCGTCCGTCAGCGCAATGCTTCGCCCGAGCCCCTCCACCATCCAGACCCCGCGACGACCTATCACCATTCCACTGTACTTGCGTACGGTGTGCAGAGATAAATCACCGCTCTCCGTCGCAGCATGGTGCACGGTGGCACGCCAGACACACAGTGAGACATCCCAGGAAGAAGGCGGGGCGGGGGCGAGTGGTGGAGGGGAGGCATTGGTGGAACGCAGAGGGAGGGAGGATGAGATATAACGCGTGAATCGCCGTCCAGAGAGCGGCATTGCTCGCACGCCACGGGCACGCCTGATTGTGGCATTGGTAAACGTGCCATGCTGTGCAGAGCAACGCCATTGGGGCGGAGAAGTGCTTTAGTGCCGGTGTGAGAAGCGTGGGCTTGTTGAATGCTTGTCGTAGTTCGGTTTGGCTCAGATTAATTGATAAGTGTTGGGGGGGGGTGAGGAGGTAGGAGGACGCGGAGTCTTTTCAGACCTTAGGCACAACTTTATTTTGCACTTCTGAATTGAGTGGATCATGACATGTGTACATCGATAACGGGTGTTTACTTCTCCCCTTTCGAGGGCAGTAGTACTTTGTTCCCCTCCTTGTGTGCCACATATGTTTCCTTGCTCGGCCGGGGGTCGTCTAGATCCCATGGGCCTGTCTTTTCTCCTAGTCGTTTTACACACACCCTGCCACTTCATTCCAGACCGCGAAAATGTCGGTCTACATTTGAAAATTGTGAAATTTTGTGCATACACCTGGGCTAGCTCGATGGCCATTGACGCCGCACGGCTTATTGGGTCTCGTTCTTTCTCGTCCCCTTCCACATCCCTCCTTCCAGGTTCATGTACGGCCCGCCATACCGGCCACGCGGAAGACCATATCCACGTCAAGGACGCCGAAATAATGATTCGTACATCATTTACGTTCTTCTTTCTACCATATTTCGGTACATCAATGAGCTGGAATACAAACCTCCAGTCACGATTGCCTTTTTAACGCTCAATATTATGGTCCACCTCATGCCTGAATTTTTCCTCCCATGGGGCTTCGACTTCCGGAGTGTCCGCGACATTTGTCTACTGCCCGCACATATCCTCGAGCTTCTACCCTCTTTGTCCTCCCTCTTTTCCAGCGTCCAGGGAGACACCTTGGGGCGGGGGCTCGGACGGGGAGGCAGAAACCGACCGCGCTCGGGCAATGTCTGGGCGGAGTTCATTCGGAATAATTTCTCCTCCTATCGCTCCTCCTCCGCTTGGTGGTCTCCCTCCATGCATGACCGCTGGCGTGAAGCTGCATCTCGCATCTTTCTGTCCGCTCTCGTCCACGGAGACGACGTGCACCTTTACTGTAGGTTACCCCCGCCTCCTCCTCCCCTTCCTCTCCCCCTCGCTCTTTTCCCTCCTGCCGAAGGCGTCCTTGCCTGTACTCACTGCAGATCTGTAGATCGCGTTCTACTTTTCTTTCCCTTCCGTCTCTTTTTGTCGTTGCTCTCGCTCAACCACGCCTCCTTCCCGTCCTCGCACATGTCTCGCCGTCCTCTCCCTCATCCATCCCGCCTCTCACGATCCCCTGCTGGGCTTTACTCCGCCCATTTCTCCTCTCTCCTCACTGACGCGTTGCACTTCTTCCTTTCCCGCCACTCCCTCCCATCCCCTTTCCCCCCCCGCGCAGACAACATGCTCTCCCTCCTCTACAAAGGCGCCACCCTCGAACGCGCCCTCGGCTCCCTTCCCTTCCTCCGCCTCGTCTTCTTCGCTTGGGGGGTCTCCCACACACTCATCCTGCTCCTGGCCACCTTCCTTCACTCCCTCTCCTTCCCCTCCTCCTCCTTCTACAGCTGCTCCGTCGGCTTCTCGGCCGTCCTCTTCGCCTTGAAGTACGTTTCCTACGCGAGGGACCCCGACGGTTGGACAACCGTTGCCGGCTTCCGGGTACCCTTAGGGAAAGCCTCCTGGGTGGAGCTGGTCGTAACTTCCTTCTTGACTCCTAACGCGTCCTTTCTCGGGCATTTGTGCGGCATTTTGGCGGGAATTCTGTGGGTCGAGGGTGGGAGGGTGG